GCCCAGATTTCCATCAACAGATGAATGGATAAAGAAGATGTGGGGTGTGTGTGTGTGTGTGTGTGTGTGTGTAGTATGTGTATGTATTGCTCAGTAATAAAAAGAATGAAATTTTGCCATTTGCAACAATGTGGACGGAACTAGAGAGTATTATTCTAAGAGAAATAAGTCAGAGGAAGAGAAATACCACATGATTTCACTCATATGTAGAATTTAAGAAACAAAACAGATGAACATAGGGGAAGGAAAGGAAAAATAAGATGAAAACAGAGGGAGAGGCAAACCATAAGAGACTCTTAACTCTAGGAAACAAACTGAGGGTTGCTGGAGGGGAGGAGATGGGAGATGGGGTAACTGGTGATGGGCATTAAGGAGGGCACTTGATGTAATGAGTACAGGGTAGGTATTATATACAACTGATGAATCACTAAATTCTACCCCAGAAACTAAAAATACATATATGTTAACTAAATTGAATTTAAATTAAAAAAAATAATAATAATAATCTCGTGCCAAAAAGCACATGCTTTGAGAATAGAATGCCTGATTTTGAATTCTGGCTCGACCACTTTCTTCCTTTATGACCCTGGAGACCTCCTTAACCTCCCTATCCCTTGGTTTCTTCATCTGCAAACTGGATGTAACAGAAGAATATGCCTCATAGTTATGAGAGCTGTGCAGTAAAAACATGTTTTTATCATTTTTATTTTTTTAAGTACATACTTTAATTTTTTCCATTGTGGAATTTAAATTGGTGTTTATGACTAAGATTCTTGAATTTGTAGAAGTAGAATCCTGACATGTCACTTCAATTTATAATATAGTTAAGACACTTTTGTAGGTATATGCTGTGACTTGTTTATAGAAAATTAGTTAACTAGGTTAGTTTGTTAAATATACTTATTTGCAACATACCTTTTATCCATGAAAACAGAATTGCAGAAGCAGCAGCAGTAAACATTAGGGAACCACCAGACCAGAATTGGGTAATATGTCAGGTCCTGTGAAATTACTAGTAAAGAGTTCAAGACCTTGTGTCATGCTCTGCACTTGTCATGTGCTTTCATCAAATCCTCTCAGTCCTTTGGCCATCCTGTGTGGATGGCAGGCAGGTTCTAAAACTGCTCCAAGCCTTAGTTTTCTGTTCTGTGAAATTGAACTTTATGACTTGAGCAGGGTCACAGGACTCATGTGTGATAGAGAGGATGCCAGAAGCCCCTTCTGATCGCTAATCCCTGCTTTTCTTGTGGATCATAACAAAACTCTTATTATGGTAAAACTCGGTCAACTGCGTCATCAGGGAAGACGCTACTGTAGAGGATAATTTTCTAAGTACGTAAGGTAGAGCTGTCTCTTTTGATTTAATTTGCTGTTTTAAATGTAAAATTCTGTAATAACCTGTTTCTGTATTTCCTTACACAGCTGACATACTAGCAGGCTGGCCAGCTTCCCTCCCTTCCCTTACTGTGAATAATGCAAGCATCCTTGTCCCATACCCCAGGGCACTCAATGGCTGTGCCTGCCACCATGGCACCCTGTCCTTTTAGGGCAGAGGTTCAGATACGTGTTAGGTTACTTTACATTCACTTAGACACACATATACACGACATAGACACTCCTTATCTTCAGTGGCTGCTGCATCCAGTGAGGTGCCAGAGCTTGTCATTCTTTCCCCTCTCACTCTCCCGTCTCAGAAAATTCTGTCTCAGTCACAGGCTGTTTTCTCAAGAATCTGGTGTTCTCTGCTTTTGCCACTTCTGATTTCTGATTCTGTTTTTGTTCTCTCTCTGCCACACTCCTCCTTGTGGTTTTTTTTCCCCCTCCTTCTCCTCTCATAATCTTTCAGCAAATATTTGTTGAATACCTGTGATGTGCTGTACCCCAATGATGCCAAGTAAAGGACAAAACCAGCCCCAAAACCTCGTATGGTATGGGTGGAGGGAAGCACAGGGGAGGATAGACGCTGTGCCAAGCCAGTGGAGAAAGGCTGCATTCCGTTTGGAAGACCTGGGGATGGCTTCCCAGAGCAGGCGCCTGTGCGTTTTCACCTGTGGGAAACTGGAAGCGAATTCTTGGGACAACAGACCTTGTGAACTGACTGCCCTGTTTGCAAGACATGAGAAGTAGTGTAACTAGAGAACTCTGACCTAAGAGACTCAGCAGAGGCAGGTGTGAGGCACAACTGAAAACCTAGCAGGGGGCCAAGTTGTAAAGGATCCAGTGTCCCCACTGCTGAGGTGGAGGGCCTGGCCCACAGGTGGCAGCACTGAAGGAGGGGCTGCTGCTGGCCTGTGAGCATGTGGCTCTGGCTGCCTGGCAGGGCCAGGACTGATGGGAGAAGAGATGGAAGGAGGGCATCAGTCAGGAAGCTTAGGTGGGAACTGAAGGGAGATGAAAAGGACCAAACTCAGGTGACAGACAGAGACGGGGATGGGAGGGCTAAGTTAATCAATGTGCCAGAGAATGAATCAATGGGACTTAGTGAGGAGAGAGGGCCAGTAGCATCGGGTTTCTGACATACACTGTGTCACTGACAGTGCACGAGCTAAAGCCAGGGCTGCAGGAGAGGGTGGATTGAAGGGCAAGATCTTGAGCTCCATTTGCAGGTTTAAAGGTGGGGCTGTGGGGGAGCTCCAGGTAGAGTTGGCCCAAAGGCAGCTGGGAATACAGGTACAGGTTCCTGGGGTCAGATATGGTGACTTTAGGATTCAGATGATGGCTTTAACCTTAGATTGTCCAAGGAGAATATATATATAGGAAAAAGAGAAAAGAAGACGACACTCCAGGGAATACAGCCGTAAAGAATGGCTGACATTTTACTGTTACTGGTGCTTTGTTAGGACACAGTGACTGGAACACTGAACCTGCAAACGCTTACAGTCAGGTGGAGGGGAGAAGCCACCCAAGACACCCAGTTCCAAAAAGTTGGGCCATTTGAGAGAGGAGCGCTTGTAGTGGAGGGTGGCAGGAGAGGGGACGGGAATCATGATGACATGACCTTTGGGGCTCACTGGTATCAGCGAAAGGTAGTGCAAGTACAATCTCTCCTGCCTTTGGAGAGGCCTGTTTTTACATGAAAGGATTAGTATTTATGACATTTATTGATATATATCAGCTAAGCAGAACATCCTTTGCTTTCTAATTGGAAAACTGAATATATATGCAAATATATATTTAAAATTTTATTTGAGAAAGACACAGAGCACAAGGAAGGGGACAGGCAGAGGGGGAGAGAAGGAGAAGCAGACTCCCCGCTGAGCAGGGAGCCCAATGATGTGGGGCTCGGTCGCAGCCACCCAGGTGCCCCAAGAGTATAATTTTTATCTTTCACTGGTTTGGCTGTTCTTGTTTGCAGCTCAAAAGGCTCTTTTTCTCCGCTTCAAACAGCAGATCACATTCTGTATCTAGCCAGCCTACAGTATATTAGAAAGTTCTCGATCAAAAATTTTACTCTGCATGGATTTGGTGATACCAAGGCCTTCTAATCTGAACATCTATTAATATGTGAACGATACAGTTCACCTCTGGCATCCATGGCTTCAACTGTAAACGTCCCAAAAGCATGATGCTGGCAGTGCATTTGACGATTCGGCCTGCCCTGTGTACGGCAGGAGTGGGTGGAAGTCTGCTCTTCTCTCCGTCTGTTTCAATCCCCAGATCTCTCTCGTGGTATCACCAACCCTCCAGAGAGATGATGAATCTGGAATTTAAAGAAATGTGTGCACACGTGTGTATTTTCTCTGTACTGTGACCTCGGTACACAAACAAGCCATTTGACCTGGTACTCAGAGAACTAGCCATCTGTTCAGTGCTGGAGGAAGTAAGCTGTTTTAGGCCCACTGGGAGGTAGTAAGTCTCCGTCTGGGTCTTCCTGAGGGCTTCTCAAGGGTGTTTTTGACCACAGACTCTTCCGTATACCTACAGACTTTAAATCCTAGCACTCACATAAGATGCAATTCCCTGAGTCAGTCCTTATAAATGAAATCCACCTTCCCTCTTTGTCATTTTTTTGGAGGGAATACCAACACTGCATTTGGTAAAAGGACTACAAGGGCCAGCTCAGAGCAAAGAGGACAGATGGAAACTTTTGGTGTCCTGACTTCTGGAAGAGGGCTTGGCCTCATGGGTAGTAAGAATAGTAAGGTAATGTGAGTTAGGGATCCAGAAAAGTCAGTGAGGTGATGGATTGTCAGGGAAGCGCACGCAACCTTAGATTCTTATCTCAGAGACTCCAGTTAGAGCCAAGGGGAAAGTACTCAACCTCCTTTGGCCTTACTTTCATTTGAGATGGAATGATTCTGGGTGAATTTGTTCTGGAGGAACAGAGATAGCCGGTGGATAAATCCAAGGAAAGGGAAGTCTTTCAGATCTTGTTGAGGTTCTACTTTGTATGACTTAGTATGATTATTTTGTTGGTAAGCCTTCACCTAGGGGACTGGCATTTTTTAGATAGTTTTGCAGGCTCTCTGAGACTGAAGAAGGAAGAAGTTGCACTGGTATCAGTGTAGTTCACCCAGGATGGTTTTTGGACCTGAGCAATGCCTGTTTAGGTGACTTGGCTCCCTCTTAGCATATAGAGTCATTCATAGGTGTAGATATATGGATATATGTATATGTATCTATCAGCATATAATATTCATATTACATATTTGATCTCTACTCTTTTTACCCCTCTTCTGTCTATCAGTCCAGGTCCTATATCACTTATAAGACCCAGGACTGGGCTCTTGCAGACCCTTTTCTAACTGTTCTGGCTCATAGTAATCATTCCTTTTATATTCCTGTGGCATTTTCTCTTTATACCACACAGAGTAGCAATTTTGTCAATAATTTTTGCTGATCATTTGTGTGTAGCTGTTCAGTTCTGGGCACAGAATTATAGTTTGCTTTGTTTTATTCTCTTCTTGTGTTATATATGTATTATCTATGGCCCCAGCTAGCATGTAAGTTTCTTGATAAATACTGTTCTTTTTGTTTTGTGTCATTTTCTTTTTCTGTAGAGCTTTCATTGTTGAGGTTCCTCAGTGCTGAACTAACAAGAGGGTACTTCCTTGAACATAATGAGGCCAAGTATACAGAAAGAAGAGAAAGAGTATACACTTGTATGCGAATACCAAGAGAATTGGAAAAGGTACTATTTTTTTTTCTATTACCAGACATCATTTTGAAAGTTATGTCGACATGTTAATTATACAAAAATAAATTGTGAACACCTCGAGTTGAGTTTTTAAAATATTGAAAGTAATATTATAGGTAACTAAATGTATTGGGAATAGGAATTCCCATACAGGAAGAGGCTTTAACCTTGTATTTTTAGTGTAAGTGTTCCTTAACTTTGCTATGTATTAAACTTACCATATTCCCACTTGTGTCCCATCCAAGTCACTTTTTCCAAGGAGTTAATCTCTACCTACCCCCTTAATTCTCATCAGTTCTCTTGGGCTAAGAGCAGTATTTTTTTTCTCAGTATGACAAATTACTGAATTGTCAGCCCTTTTGAAGGTTTCAGTTTCCCAGAAAGCCCTTGTATTTAAAAACATTAATGACAGTCTCTTCAAAGAAAAAGACGATTCATTGCATCTTTGTCATAGAAAACCTCACATCCCAGGGTGAGTGTAGCCACAAGCATAGCCACTGAATCTGTACAAGCCGTATTCCCTTAGTTGTGTCTTAAGATATGACACTCAGATATGACAGGAAGGCCGCTCTTTTCCCTTTGCATTCCTGCAGCCGGTAAGTCTAAGCAATTCCAAGATTTCTTACTAGAAAGGAAGAATTAAGAAATAATTCAGTTTTGGCTGTACTAGAACACAGTTTCATACTTCTATAGTCACATAAAACTTGTAATAATTTGCTTCCTTAGAATCACACTTTTTGTTGGAGTGGCTGTCAGAGGAATTTTGCTGGTTAGCTCAGTCAGAGTGTTCTAGAACTGGAGGAGCAGTAGACAGTGAGGATTGAGGACCCAGCTGTTTTGGCTGCTGGTCTTTTACTTCTGACAGTCAGTGCATCGATATGGTAGAGGGAAAGGAGTCAGCTGTCCAGTGACACTTTGAGAAGTATTGCTTCACATGGGCTCTTGGTGGCAGGTTGCATGCTGAACTTTTGGGGAGTTAAGGTAGGGAGGAATGGGAGCAAGCGCAGGCTGGAGGGAGAACAGTCATGAAAATGAGACGGTTGTTGCCTGTGGTCAGGATCATTAACTGTGCTTAGGGTATGGTTACATGGCTGCTTTTCTAGGTAGTCTCGGGTTCCATGAAAGAATCGGTGCCTGGTAGGGGAGATGGAGAAGTGTGGGGCGCTCTCTGCACCTGCTGCCTTAGTGCGGCAGTGCCTTGAATTTATTTAAGATTTTGGCCAGGGATGGGGGTAATGTTTCTTTGGCTTGCCAATAAAAATAACAACAACAATAATAAAATTAGTTCTTATGTCTTTCTTTCTTGAACACATTATTTTCAGAGCTCACTTTTTCCTTCCAATGATAAGCCAAGACTGGGAAGCATGAGGATATACTGCAGAGGGAATTGGAGGGAGGTTGGGGCCTAGGTCCTTGTACAGGGCAGTGCCAGCCACAGTCAGGTTTTACCCACCTGCTGTCCCCTGTCTGGATAGTTGTGGATTCCCCTTTTTATCTGGGGAAAACACAGAAATTTGCCTGCAATCCACAGCCAAACTACGGATGCACCCAGGGGATTGCCTCAAAGCAAGAAGCGTGTGTCTGGCCCCTTTTATTACCCCTCATGTGGCAGATATGATGAGCAGCGGCTATGCCCTTGTGATGGTGAGCTCATCAGAGTCAGGATTGGTACACACATCCTCTTCTCTTCTCTCGGGCAGCACTGACATGCCAAGCAGTTTCTTGGTAGATCCCTCACAGAAACTTGCGAGCATTTCCTGTGTGTCATTGTGAATCTTGTCTTCTGGGGGAACTGCACACAGGTCTTGATAAGCCTTCACTATAAATCAGAGTGTATTTCATTTATTTTATTTTATTTAATTTTATTTATTTATGATAGTCACAGAGAGAGAGAGGCAGAGACATAGGCAGAGGGAGAAGCAGGCTCCATGCACCGGGAGCCTGATGTGGGATTCGATCCCGGGTCTCCAGGATCACGCCCTGGGCCAAAGGCAGGCGCTAAACCGCTGCGCCACCCAGGGATCCCCAGAGTGTATTTCAAACCATGGTGCATTAAGGGACCACTGATGGGATGAGTAACCCGTGAGGTAGGTTACAATCAGTTAGGAATTTTTTTTTTTTTTAAGAAAAGTTAATCAGAATGGCATTGCCTGTAGGAAGGTAAGTATCTTGTCATGAAACTTTGGTTTTATTTGTGTATATATAAGAAGTGTAATGTCAGAAAAGTTGAATTAACACTGCTCATGCACAATTGTAATAATTTTCTAATCCTGTTTCCTATTACGAGGCTTTGGCTTTAGGCCTATTTAGGAACATTTGATTTAGTTTCTTAGAACAACACTCCAGAAGCTTTATTGCTTAAAATGTACAAAAGGTGTCACATTTTTCAATTTAGAGCAATTTCTTCTTGATTTCTCAGAGTGAGTGAAATGTAGAGGAAAGCAGAGTTCAGGGACACCTGGGTGGCTCAGTGGTTGGGCTCAGGGTGTGATCCCTGCATTTGGCTCAGGGTGTGATCCCGGGTCTGGTGATCAAGTCCTGCATCAGGCGGAGGAGCCTGCTTCTCCCTCTCTGCCTGTGTCTCTCTCTCTCATGAATGAATGAATAAAATCTTAAAAAAAACAAAACAAAACAGAGTTCAATTTCAGTTGAATCACTGGCATAAATACCTTATAACAGGGTAGGTTCTCTCTAGTGTCTCCCAGGCCTTGATGTTAGGAGTAGGGTTTCACCAGGCTTTTATTTTTTTTTTTAATTTTTTATTTATTTATGATAGTCACAGAGAGAGAGAGAGAGAGAGAGAGAGAGAGAGAGAGAGAGAGAGGCAGAGACATAGAGGGAGAAGCAGGCTCCATGCACCGAGAGCCCGACATGGGATTCGATCCTGGGTCTCCAGGATCGCGCCCTGGGCCAAAGACAGGCGCTAAACCGCTGCGCCACCCAGGGATCCCTCACCAGGCTTTTATTACAAGAGTTGAGGGGCTGTCTAGACATTCACATTGGTAAATTTATTGTCTAGTTGGTAATACATAATATGTAATACCTTTCCCTGATATAGAATATAGAATACTTCTAATATATATAATACCTTATTCATCTTTTTTTTTTGTTTTTTGGTAAATGCTATGATATTTTCATGTAGCCTTTTCAGGAGGAAAAATTTGACAATTAATGCTTCTACAAGGGTGGCACATGCCATAAAACATGTAGTTAATGTTTATACTCTCAAATTAAGAGAGTCGTCAATTCAGTATATCTTATTGAACTTGTTTACTAATGTAAAAAAAATTCCAGAATTTTTGTGTAATCTTCTCAGTGGAAAAACACATTATTCTTGACATTCAAAACACGTAAATTGTTTATACACTCAAAATAGTATTTCCAGTGGCTGGCACTTTTTTCATATTTGAACTTCTCATTCTAATGAAAGGGGATGAAATTATGGAGTGTTGTGTTGGCTTTAGGCAGCATTTCTTTTTTTTCTGCCACAAATCTCTTTTGGCCTGCAACTACACACCCCTTGGGTTCTTGTCCTAGGTCTGTTGCTCACCATGTGTGATCTGTTTGGGGTCTCTGGTGTTTTCTTTGTACAGCAGAGAATACTGAACTGTACTTCTCTGCATTCTAAACTGAGAGACAGGATAGTGCAGTGGTCAAGGGCATGAGCTCTAAAGCCAGCCTGCCTGGATTTCCTCTCCATTCCACTATTTATCAGCTGCGGGGCCTTGAGTCATTTACTTCTGTCCATTTGCCTCAGTTTTCTCATCTGTATATTAATTGTGGGGTGAGCCCTGTATCAATGTTTTAAAATATATCATAGTTCTCACCTCAGCAACTTGAGAACAAGCCCTAGGAGAACAAGAAAAATTTGGGAAGGTTTCTTGTTTCTTGTTTCCAGGTTGCATTCCAGGGGATGTCTCCTTGCAGGAGGGGTGGCTGTCATCTGGAGGGCTCCCTGCACAGCAGGAGGTGACCAGGAGGAGTCTGGTTTCCATGTCTCCCCCTTGTCCCATTTGATCTCATGTTAGAATCTAACCTTCCTGTTTAACTTGCTGCTAAATTTGACTTTTGTAGCCCAGTAAGGGACATGATTTTCTGACTCTCTGCCTTCTCTGATTGCTGACCACAGGCAGAAAGAAGCTTTGGGGTAAAACTGTTTTCTTCCCTCTGTCTTTGTAATTAGGCTGTCTTCGAGTAAAACATGTCTCTTTCATGAAGGATTTAGCTGATGGTCAAAAGAGATAGCACACCCTGTCACCCTGACGTTTTCTGTCAGTCCTTCTAGAGTCTGTTCTCAGCAGGCACGGAACTTGGAGCTGATGGTTAGGTCAGACAACCAACACTTTAACTAGAAGCCTTGTGAAATCGGGGCAGGATCACCAGTTTCTTAGGAACTTCCTGGTGAGTAAGTGCTCACTGCTCCATAGCCCCCATTGATTGGCCGCTTATCCTACCCCTGGCAGCTATTTCTGTGTTCATAAAATGAATAGCAGTTACCACATAAGGATTAGGAGCCAGGCACTAGAAATGAGTTAGCATTCAGTGTCACCCACTGCCTCATGGGATACATGTTCTCCATCTTCCGAGACCTGGCAGTCCTCTTGGTGTTTGTGCTGCATATGGACCCTGTGGGAACAGTGTATCCTGTACCACATACAAAATTAACTCTTGACAGAGGCTGTCTGTGTGAATTCACCTGTGTGAATCCCAAATTATAGGAAACAAGAAATGCTCACCAAAGTATTCTTTCAAATTCCCTAATATATTTAAATGCTAATTTAGAGAGATACAGGTCACTCGTTCAGTTATTTATTGATTTTGCTCAGGCTATTTTGAGTACTGTCTGTATTCTAGGCACTTTGACAGTGTGCATGTACAGAGCTCAGCCCCAGACTGGCAAGGTAATACATTGCCAGGTGACGAGAAAGGGAGGTTGATTTTGCACCTGTGTTTTAGGGCTTGGCATTGTGGGTGGGTGTGCTAGGAAGATCCAG